CCTCGTGAGCTGTGCACGTGCCGTTCCCTACCCACAAATGTGCATGGTGAACGTTTTGGGTCCTGGTTCCTAAAGAGTGGCGTATGCCCTTTTCCAAGCTTTGATTCGGCAGCTCGCCACATGCTTGTCACACTCGGGAGTGCTGTCCTGCTATGCCGCCCCCAGCGGTCACTGAAGTTGCCTTTGAACATTGTGTGCTTCTATGACATGCTGCGGCACGGCCGTTCTGCTGCGCTCCTCTCCTCCCCCCCCCGGGTGACCATCTCTCCGACGCTCGGCTGCGCCAACTCTGCGAACTGCCCGCCCATCCGTGGCCGTTCAGGGCGCAGCACCCCGCCTCGGTGCAGCCCGCCATGGTCGCCCATCCCCGCCCGCTCGCGCCGCGGCGATGGCGGGGCCCTCCGGGGAAATGTCGCAAACGCAGCTCCTGGCCGTGACGCTGGCGAGGCTCGCGGGCGGGAAACGTGCCCACACCCGCAGCCCTGCGCCTCCGGGCTCCTCGGGCCGCGCCCCCCCACGGGCACGGGGCGTCTCTTTCGCGGGCGCCCCGCGCGGAGCCCACTCCTGCGGCCGCGCATCCACGGGGCTGCGCTCCGGAGTCCAGACCGCGAGGGCGTGGATACGGTGGGTTTGCGCCGCGTTGACGCGGCGGCGACCCCAGCGCGGGCGTTTGAGGTTCAACGCCGCCAGAGGCCCAGGATCGGCCGATGTCGAGCGATCTGCGCTACCAGAGAGCCGCGATCGTTCAAGGTTGAACGATCCACGGGGCCTCAGAAACCAACGCCCGCGACATCGCGACGCGAACCAGCCGTATCCGTGTGGAAGTGCTCGCCGCTCGTGAAAGGTGGCTCGTGCGCTTCCGCCTGTGCGGCTGCGTCGCGCCGCCGCTGGCGGCCGCCCTCGCCTGCGGCCTGCTGCTGCTGCGCGGCGTGGGTGCGCTGGTGCTGGCCGCGGACGAGCTCGACGGCGCGCTGGGGGGCAGGTGGGCAGCGGAAGAAGCCGGGGTCGACTGTCGATTGCGCAGACATTCGCGCGTGAGCTGCCTGCGTTGGAGAGCGCGCAAGCGCCTTCGTTGTCAACGTGGCGTGCCGCGCTGGCGGCCCGCGTGAACCGCGGCGTAAGGTCGCTATGTCATCGTGCGGACCCGTTTATTTTCGTCGTTTAGGTGGTCCCCGGCGCGCGTCGCGCTGCTGGTCGCGGGCGCCGGCGACTGCGCGGCGGCAGCCGCCGGGCTGGCGGGCCGCCTGTTGCAGCGGGGCGCCCCGCTCACGGCCCCGGGCCATCGGAAGACCCCCCATCCTCAGCGGAGGGAAGGCCTGAGATCCGGGCGTTGCAATTTGTTCGAGCGATCTGGCTTGGAACATGCCGCAGCAAGATCGGGTCTAGAGCTGCAGTCGTGGTTTGTCACGATCTTGTATTTTTCGTGACGCCGGATCTCAGTGAAGGAAAACTGGCACCGCTGCTCGTCCTGGAGAGCTCTCGTCGCCACGGCTGAATTCTCCTCGAAATTCTGGTCAGAACGCACCCCAGGAGATGTCCAGGGAGCAGCGGCAGACCTCCCAAATGGGCTCGGAGTAGAAGCGGTCGGAGGATCGCGTCGCATCGCCGCTGCATCGGCGAGGCGGCTCGATGTGGAGCCCGATCTTCTCCACGCCGATGCATCGGCGATGCGGCGCGATCCGCTGGCTCCATCTGCGCGGACCCCATCTGGGAGGCCTCTGGTAGCTAGCGTAGCGGAGGAGGAGGAGGAGGAGGAGGAGGAGGAGGAGGAGGAGGAGGAGGAGGAGCAGGAGGAGGAGGAAGAAGAGAAGGAGGAGGAGGAGGCATCTGGGGGGCCTCTGCTGCGCCTTTTTGCTCCTCCCCCCCGCTTCCTGCCTGACCCCAGGGGGGGGGCGGGAGCCCGGCTCGCGTGTGAGAGGCCGCACGGCCTCTCGGGCCTCGTCGGCCCGCGAGCGGCCTCGGGCACGCGTCGGGCCCTCCGCGTGCGCGCGCAGTGAGCGGAGCCTCCGCGTGTTCCGCGTGCGAGTCTCCAGCCGCGTGTGCTTCCAGCTTCCCGCTGCTCATCGCGGCTCTCGGGCTCCTCGCTCCCTTCCTCCTGCCTCCTGCTTCTCCTCCCCTCCTCCCTCCCTCCCCCCTCCTGCTTCTCCCTCCCGCTTCTCCCATCTCCTGCCTCTTCCTCCCTCCTACTTCTCCTTCCTCCTCCCTCCTCCTCTCTTCTCCTTCCCTTTCGGGGGGGGGGGTCCGCAGCCTCCTCTCTCCTCCTCCTTCCTCCTCCTCCTCCTCATCCTCCTCATCCTCCTCCTCCTCCTTCTCCTCCTCCTCCTCCTCCTTCTCCTCCTCCTCCTCCTCGTCCTCCTCCTCCTCCTCCTCCTCCCCTCTCGTCGGGGAGGTCCTGCCCGTCTGGCTGTTCCTCCACCTGCCGCTGCTGGTGGCGCTCCTGCTCGGCAGCCCGTTCCGCAGTCCAGGGGAGTCCGCCGACACGTGGCTCGGCATCGCTGTGGAGCTCAGCACCGTATACCCATCGGTCGTTAAACCCAGGTATTCCTGGATTCCCATATTCCAATTTACTTGAAGCGGCGCTTTCCTACTTCAAGGATCGAGTGGCTTCGCCTTTTCCGTCCACCTTAGGGGGCGGGCGGAGACCCAATCTATTTCCAACGCCTTCCTACTTCATGGTTCTACCTACTTCTTCCGACCGATGGGCACCCTACCCCCATCCTCACTGGGCCATGGTGTCTCGGGCAACCCAGCATACGGCAGGCGTTGCAAAGACAGCGTGCGATGTGGCGCCGTCGGCCCGCTCATTACACGCTATCCCCCCAGCTTGGGGATAGCGTGCACCGACGACGCCCTGGCAGAGGGACAGTGTGCAAAGAAGGGGCCGTCGTGGGGGGATCGCCTCACAGGGATAGCGTGTTTTTCGGAGATCGACGTTGCACGCTCTCTTTCCAACGCCAACCGTAACCTAGTCACATCCACACCTGGGCCATGGTTTCTCAGGCCCCCCAGCCTAGGTGGCGATAGGCCCCGCGAACCCTTTAAATATTACGCATATCAGAGTGATGGGGCCGAACGGTCATTCGCTGTCCCTGGGTGCGTGGCTGAAGTGGGGTTCCGCGGTGCGTATAGTTGTTGAATTTTCATTCGTTGAATGCTCGAGTGCAGCGGCAACGGCTTCCGGAAATCCATCCGACCGATAAACCGATAAACCGATAAAAACTAATCGGTTGAACGGTTTGCAAACCGATCAACCGATATAATCATATCGGTTTATCGGTCGATCTGCCGATAAACCGATCAACCGATAATCTTCGTATGCGAACATAGAGGCGATTGCTGGCGCGCCCTCCTCTCTTCGTCGGTTTATCGGTTTATCGGTTTATCGGTTGATCGGTTTATCGGTTGATTGGCTGGTCTGAGACCGCTGGGGGGGAACCTGTGGAGGCGATCCTTGTGCCGCATATCGGTTTATCGGTTTATCGGGTTATCGGTTGGTTGTCAGTTCCCCGCCACGACGACGACGGCGACGGCGACGGCGACAGTGGCCGGACCGCCATGGGGCAGGGCACCTCCGAAGTCAGAGGTGCGAGGGCGTCTCAGGCGCAAGTGGCCTGAACACCGCATCTCGGGGAAAATCGGAGGTCAGACTACGTGAAGGCAGGGCACATCCCAGGTCAACGCTGCGAGTTTTTGTGTAGGCGGAACTGGCCAGCACAATTTGGGGCAGGGAAGAATATCAGAGGTCAGCGTTGCGAGGATGTCTCAGGATGAGGATGAGGAAGGTAATGCTGATGATAATGATGGCGATGACGGCAGCCGCGCGGGAGGCAAAATCTGGCGGGGCAAATTTCGGCGGGAAGCAAGTGCGAGGATGGCTCAGGCGATGGTGGCCAGATTGCTTCAACTCAAAGAATATCGGATCCCAGAACGCTGCGGATGCTTTAAGCGGGATGCGCCGGTGTGGTGAAGATGCCCCAGGCGAGAGCGCTAATAATCACTTGTCGTGGCGCGTTGGAGCCCAGACTTCCGAGGATGTCTCACGAGGAACGGGCCTCCTCCTCCTCCTCCTCCTCCTCTGCGTCGTCGTCGTCGTCCTCCTCCTCCTCCTCCTCCTCCGTGTCCTCCTCCACCTCCTCCTCCTCCTTTCAGAGTCAAGGGCGCGCGATTGCGGTAAGCCGCCGTGAGGCGCTCTAATTGGACGGATTGCCACGGTGAGGCAAGGATATGAGGGGGTAGCCAGGAGTCGGAGGACACCCCAGCGTCCTCATCCCATTCGTCCCCTCAATGATGCGCTGTCCCTTCTCGGGACTGGGGGGGCAAGGAACACCTTCGTGGTGGGTCTGATTTGCCGGGCCGTCGAACATTCATTTGCGTGGCAATCGAATCGGTCACCCAGGATGCCGGTTCTGCCTCGACGAAACCTCATGGACGATGCTGGGGTTCTTCCCCTCTAATCTCATGGTGGGGCTCGCCAGCCACCGGCGCTTGATACCAGGTCCCCCCTTGGGCGTTGGTACCCATAAGCCAATCGACTTCTAACAAGCTCCTCCTCCTCCTCCTCCTCCTCCTCCTCCTCCTCCTCCTCCTCCTCCTCCTCCTCCTCCTCCTCCTCCTCCCTCCTCCTCCTCCTCCTCCTCCTCCTCCTCCTCCTCCTCTCCTCTGCCGGCCGAGCCGGGCCGAACCGCAGGCGGGCCAGCCAAAACGGGGACGAGGACGAGGATGAGGAGGAGGACGACGTCGACGACGACGGCGACGACGACGACGACGGCGACGGCGACGGCGACGGCGACGGCGACGGCGACGGACGACGGACGACGACGACGACGACGACGACGACGACGACGACGACGACGACGACGACGACGACGACGCCGCCGCCGCCGCCGCCGCCGCCGCCGCCGCTCTCGTCGCCGTCTTCGCCGCCGTCGTCATCGTCGCCGTCGTGGCGCACCCCTCGACTTCGAATCCGTCCAAAACGGGTCCTCGGACCTCTCCCAGGGTCAAAAGGCACCAGCTTCTGTCGCCGCGTCCGGCCGCGGCGACGCGGGGGGCCCAGGAAGGCCAGAAAGCCTCGGTGCTCGCGGGGTCGTGGGGCGCACCACGACGACGACGACGACGACGACGACGACGACGGCGGCGGCGGCGGCGGCGGCGGTGGCGACGGCGTCGTCGCCGTCGTCGTCGACGTGCACCCCCCGACCCAAATCAGTTCCGAACGGGTCCCCGGACTCTTCCCAGGATCAAAACGCACCAGCCTCTGTCGCCGCGTCCGGCCGTGGCGACGAGGGGGGCCCCGAAGGCCACAAAGCCTCGGTGCTCGAGGGGTCGGGGGGTGCACACGACGACGACGACGACGACGACGACGACGACGACGACGACGACGACGACGACGACGACGACGCGGCGGCGGGGCGGTCGTCGTCGTCGTCGTGGTACACACCCCCGACCCTTCGAGCACCGAGGCTTTCTGGCCTTCCTGGGCCCCCCTCGTCGCCGCGGCCGGACGCGTTGACAGAGGCTGGTGCTTTTTGACCTTGAGAAGAGTCCTGGGGCCCGATTGGGACGGATTCTGGGTCGGGTGGGCGCACGACGACGACGGCGACGACGCCGTCGCCGCCGCCGCCGCCGCCGCCGCCGCCGTCGTCGTCGTCGTCGTCGTCGTCGTCGTCGTCGTCGTCGTCGTCGTCGTCGTCGTGCGCCCACCCGACCCAGAATCCGTCCCAATCGGGCCCCAGGACTCTTCTCAAGGTCAAAAAGCACCAGCCTCTGTCACCGCGTCCGGCCGCGGCGACGAGGGGGGCCCAGGAAGGCCAGAAAGCCTCGGTGCTCGAAGGGTCGGGGGTGTGTACCGACGACGACGACGACGACGACGACGACGACGACGACGGCGGCGGCGGCGGCGGTGGCGGCGGCGGCGGCGGCGGCGACGGCGGCGGCGGCGGCTGCGACGGCGTCGTCGCCGTCGTCGTCGTCGTGCACCCCCCGACCCAAGATCCGTCCCGAACAAGGCTCCGGACCCTTCCCAGGGTCAAAAGGCACCAGCTTCTGTCGCCGCGTCCGGCCGCGGCGACGAGGGGGGCCCCCGAAGGCTACAAAGCCTCGGTGCTCGAGGGGTCGGGGGGTGCACCACGACGACGACGACGACGACGACGACGACGACGACGACGACGACGACGGCGGCGGCGGCGGCGGCGGCGGCGGCGGCGGCGGCGACAGCGTCGCCGTCGTCGTCGTCGTTACCTCCCGACCCAAAAATCGCCCCAAACGGGTTTCGGGACCGCAGGATGTCTGTGTCGGCGAATTGCAATTTCTCCCGTATGAGCTGGTCGAGGCCTGGATTCTCGTCTATGAAATTGGAGATGCCGCTCATGAAAGCCCGATACATGGACAGCGAGAAATTATCGAAGCAGTGCACTTCCTGCTGGGGCAGGGCATTCTGACACATCCAAGACATGAGCGCTGTCAACAAAATCGTGGACTGCTCGGTGTTCTGCGTCGGGTGGCCAGCCGCCTCGCCAAACCAAATGGTATTGAACCTCTTGCGGAAGCCAATGGAATCACGCTGGAGCACCTCCTCGACCGCTGGAATCTCCCCCCACACCTGGTGCAAGAACCCGTAGGTGCCCAAGTTAACGGCCCCATGCCCAGTCATAGTGATGCTGCGCTCGCCGTTGACGAACTTGAGCATCGTCGGCTTTCCCGCGTAGTGACACCCGCGCGACCCCTGGCTGAAGGTGGTGTCGTAAGCCGTCGTGATTTCGTCGTTGACCAGCCCGCTGCGCTCATGCGTCGAAATACAATTCAACAATCCTCTCAGCGTGGCGTCACCGCAGGTGCAAGCCTGTAGCTGCCGCCCCTCGTCAGTGTCGCCCAGCAGGCTGACCGAGACGAAGCGGGCGAGGGAGGTCTTGCGAGTGGGTGGCATAGCCGCGCAGAAGATCGCAATCGTCGGCTTGCGGGAGTGCGTCTCATCCGCAGTTTCCTTGAGCACCGTGGCGTGGTGCTCCAACCAGCCCGCGTTGCTCATGATACCTTGCATGAGCGCTTCGGGCTGCCAACCCTCGCGCGACGCCACCGCGACGACTGCTGCGCGGAAGGGGCGCGGGAGCAGGAGCCGAATTGAGAAGCTGGGATCCATTCCCACCTCCTTGTGGTCCCTAGGGTCCGCCAGCATCTCGCCCAGCCACTGCTTGGCTGTCTCTCGGGTCCCCCGCTCGTCCTGCAAGCCGTTGAATAAGCCCGTCGGGTGCAGGGCGGTTCGGAAAGCGGCGGCATTCGGCACGGCGTCGAGAGCGCGAATAGCAGCCAAGGACGGGTCTGGCACCGGGGCCCCGTCGCCGCCAGCCGCCGTGTTGTCAGTGAACGTGAAACCGAAATCGGCATCCGTGATGGCAGGGCCTTGCGGCCGCGACGGCTGAGACTGCGATGGGGATATGGACTGCGACAGCCCCCTGCCAATGGGCGACGCGGCCGGGACGACGGCCCTGCCAATGGGCGACG